ACACTTAATGCTCACAGTACCGAGTCATCTTTAATGCAAACACACATTTTCTGCTTTGCTTCTATGTTTTCCATTATAAAGCAACACAAAAATAGTATACATTTCATTCTATTCCTATCAGGTTTGCATAAGCCATTTCAAGTCAGACTAAATATTGTATTACACTTATTACAGTGGATAAATATTTTAAAGTTTAGGAATTAAATATTTTATTGTTTCAGTGTGCTCTCCACAACTAGTATGAACTTTTAAATGTTTCTTCATTCATGGGAAAGCTTCAGCACTGCCCTTTCTACATGTAAGACGGTTGTTCCCCAAACAGAAGCAGATCACGAGTTAACAAATACGTTCAACAAATCACTTAATAAGAACCCTACGCTTTTTCATATAGACTCTTCTATAACGCATGTATCCTTTATTATAATAAAAGTTTGCTACTAATAAGAATGAATTCAGTAAATGCTACATCTCTAAGTATACAATTTTCTTCCTCACTTTTATAATAATTAGCATACATTTCTTTGGCATCTGTGTAAAGATCTCTTTACTTGACACAGGTATTTCTCACACTAAATTAAGACAACATATCCTAAGAAGAGCATGTCCTGAGCTGTTTGGTTGAAATTTTTTGCAAAATAAAAAACCAAGAAGCTGTTTATACACTTCCCTTAAAGGAAGCAGACTAATTATGTCAACTGATTTATTAATACATAAAGTTCCTCATCCAATTATTAAAAGTACAAAGAGACCAGGGAGCAATTTAGATGTCTAATACGCCTCAAAATCTTTTCTGTTTTTAAGGTTAATTACAATTTGAAGCCAAGCTACTCTGGATAGGCCCCTTAGGTTTTATGCAGGTTTCAATAAAATCACAAACAATAACATTACCTCATTGGCTAACTCCAGGAGCACTGGGGCAGCTCCATTTTTCAGCACTCCATTCAGATACCTAGACAAGACAAAGCCAAGTGGTAACACAGTGACAAGAAAAGGCCAGCGTAGGCTTGTCAGCATCCCCTGTGTGTACACGTTTCTCCTGGGTAAATGCCACGCTCAACTCAAGTTAAAGTATGCTACTGTCATAGGAAAGCACTGAAGGGAAAAAGGTAACAAAAACAACTTTCCTCAAAGCCACTGGCAGCTAACTAACTGAACTGGGGAGCAGGGGGGAAGGAATATACCATCTCTCTTGCTTTCACCTAACACGTAAAGTGAATGCAGACATGACTGCAAAAGAACTATCCATATGACTCTGGTTTGCCTACACCACAGACAACCCATGGCATGAAAAACAAGTAAGTCAACTCATTAGTTTGGAAACCGTATCCAGGCACCTATCTCACCTTTTTCTTTATCTCCGCTTCATAGGGCTGGCTGATCCCATAAAAAGAAATAAACGGAACAGACTTGTCGTCAGTGAGTCAGCATGCCTTTCCTAGGGAACACAAGCCATCACCTTACCTTGCCTGGATTCCTGTAGTAGCTCCCAGCTCCTGTCAGCCCCTAACTCCACTGAAACAAACAAAACTCTCCAAATCCATCTGAGACATGGAAGTTAGGATGATTTTAAGTTTTTGAATGTGTCACTGGCCTCCCTACGATGTTTCAAGGACCCCACATTAAACCTCAAGATTAAATCATAAGCACTTAACAGCTCCTGCAAAGCTCTGTTATCTGGTTCCTACCTACTCTACTGGTCTCATCTTTACTCACTGTACCCCATTCCTACCTTCCACCTGCCCAACTCACAGCTCAGCTGTCACCTTCCTCAGTCCATCACCATCCGACAGTATACTGAGTGGCCCTCATGTGCAACTGAGGAGAACTCAGTACACCTCTTTATCTTGTAACACAACATAATGCAACTGCTCATTATAGTAGTCCTCACCTTACCAACCAGGGATACATTCTTAGACTCATGTGGATGCCTGAAACTGTGGATACTAATGAACCCCATATGTACTGTTCTTTATTAAACATACACACCCATGGTGAATTTGAATTTCTAAGTGGGGCAGAGTAAAAGATGAACAATAATAACTAATCATAAAATAAAACAATCATGGCAACACACTGTGATAATAAAATTTCTGAATGTGGTTTCTCTAAGTATTTTACTGTAACATACTTACCCTTTCTTATGATGATGATGACGCTGTAAGGAGATATAATTGCCTACACGATGAGATGACATGAAGGCATTATGATGTAGTGTTAAGCAATCACTGACCTTCTGAGGAAGTGTCAGAAGGAAGATCATCAAATCATGATGATGCTGGGTGACAATAGGTAACCAGAATCACGGAAAGCAAAACCTTAGTTAAGGAGAGACAATTATACTTGTCTATCTCCAGCCAATCCTCCACTGTAATGTGGAAAGCCTCATAAGGGCCATGGAATTGGATTTTGCTCAATTTATTATGCCTGGCACGGATCTTGGTTCATAGTATGTTAGTATACAACACATACATTTTTTTCCTTAATAAATAAACAATTAAATAAATTTTAAAAGCTACACTGAACAAGAGAATAGATTTAGTTATAGACATTTTCTTTGTAGTATATTGTTTAAATGAATAAATTCAGGATATTTGCTTAACATTAGAAAGCAAAATCAATAGGTGAGTTCTTTCATAAAAGTGTCAGTAGATACTAAATGATATTAATTTACAAGTATACTTACAAAGATATGTAGTTTTCTTATAAGAAAAGTGGGATGAAAGCAAATTATTTAAAGTGGGGAGATATCCAGAGGGACTGTAACTTGAAAAAATAGGTCTAACAAGTACAGGTTCTGCATACTGGGGCCCTCCTTGATTAAGTGTTTTATTTAGAAAATCAACTGGAAAATCAGGACAAGGACATAAGAGGCAATAGGGGCCAGCACTGTGGCATAGCAGGTAAACCCTCCACCTGCAGCAATGGCACCTTATATGGGCACCAGTTTGAGTTCTGGCTGTTCCACTTCCAATGGTGCTGATGTACCTGAGAAAGCAGCAGAAGACGACCCAAGCGATTGGGCCCCAGCACCTATGTGGGAGACCTGGATGAAGCTTCTGGCTTCGGCCTGGCCCAGCTCTGCCATTGTGAACATTTGGGGACTGAACCAGGAGATGGAAGATGTCTCTCTCTCTCTCTCTTCCCTCCCTCTCCTCCTCTCTCTTGAATTAATTAATTAAACAATAAATAAAACAAGGCAAGTATGGTTCAGAGACAGGACCCTGGGAAATAGGTCAATTAAAACCCTTAGGTCAACTTCCTCAAGGAACAAACAATCAGTACCATCATGCCAGACCAATGAATCATGTGTTTATAAGCATCACCACTGCATAGTATTTACTGAGAATTCCAATTCTGGATCAGGGTTTTTAAGCCTATACCAATATGAGGATATTTCTAGCTAACTTTCTAGTTATTCATTTATCCACTAAATTAAAAGAAAATGTAATTTAATTGAGAAGTGCGAAGGCGGGGAGAGGAGAGGAGTTGGTGGCTGGAGTGAGAGAATAGGCATAGAGAAAGACATTTCCCAAACATCCACAATGACTGGAGCTGAACAGAAGACGGGAGCCAGGTGCCATAACACAGTGTATGAACTGCAGCACTCTTGGTTTGCATAAGATGTTGTGAGGACGCAGAGAAGGGGAACAGAGAAGGAAATGTCTGAATGTGTTTTCTGAACATTTTCTGTAATCACTGCACCCCGGCTGCTGTGGCCATTTGGGGAGTGAACCAGCAAATGGAAGATCTCTCCCTCTCTCTCTGTATCTCTGCCTTTCAAATAAATAAATAAATCTTTAAAAAAATTTTTTAAAACAACAAACTGAAAATAAAAACAAAAAATCCACTATTTTTCATAGAAGCTCTAAGTTATCCTCTAGCTTTGTCACAGGAAGACTAATAATAAATGTATATCCTGTGAATGAAGTCATCTTTAAAAGTCTCAGAGAAGGCCCACTTTATGATGTGCTTTAAATGTGAAAAGCATTATTCATTAGCATCTAAAATGAAAACAGTATGTATTCAGTTTCAAATATAAGGCAAAGTTCTTTGATCTTTAATATTTTCAGAATCCACTGATCATCAAACTTCAAAAACCTACACCTCTGTGCAAGCTTCCACCTGAACACCACCTTTGCTGACTTCACCTCTAAAACTCTCTGGAACCCATCCCCATTGCCAATAACAGTAGAGTCTCTCCTCTGACTTACACTAAGAGCTGGCTTATGGACTCTCCTGCTTCCAGGTGCTCAATTGACCGCCATCCTTTCACACTGCCAAAGGATTATCTTCCCAACATGAAGACATGACAGGACTGCTCCTCACTTAAACTCTACCACTGCATCCACACTGCCTTATCAAACCAAACCAAAAGTCATATTTCTTTGAACAAAACCGTCAGAGCACGTGCCTGCTTTTCCAGGTTCACCTTGCCCTTCATGTGATCTCCATGCTCTGGCCCAAGCATATCCAGAACTCTGCCACTGACTGTTCTCTCTCAGGTTGGAATTCCCATGCCTTCCTAACTAACTAGTAAAAGTAACTTTCTATTTCTAAGCTGCATGTATTCAGGTTGCCCTGGACACCCAAAATCAGGAACTTCTGGAACCCCCAACACTCTATACATCCCTATTAATACTTGGCTCACTGCATTTTGCAGATCATGTACACAGCTATTCTCCCACTAAACAGAGTAGTTAAGGGCAAGTTCAGTGTCTTGTTCACATTCATACAATTTATTACAGCATAGAAGAAAGCACAAAGTGAGTGCAAAGTAATTGGAACTAATTAAACAAAGGAATGGCTAAAATTTTCAGAAACTATCTTTATTATGTACTATCAATATCATACTTGAAATAAAACTGTATCCACGTTGATGTGGGCATGACATTCAATTGATAGGACTCTAAAGTTACTAAAAGTAGTCCCTCAGCCAGCATGTTGGCAGAAGGGAGGAAATGGGAGATGGTATTTCTAAACTTTGCTATTGATGGGGACTTCAAATCTGACTAGCTGTTTGTATGTGCACATACGCGTATGAGCATCAGTTTAGGTGAACCTAAATAAATTTTATCAAGAATATTTCTTGGGGCCAGTGCTGTGGTATAGCAGGTAAAAGCTGCTGTCTGCAGTGCCAGCATCCCATATGGGCACCAGTTCGAGTCCCAGCTGCTCTACTTCCAATCCAGCTCTCTGCTAGGGTCTGGGAAAGCAGAAGATGGCCCAAGTCCTTGGGCCCCTGCACCTGCATGGGAGACCTGGAAGTAGCTCCTGGCTCGGCTTCAGAGTGGCACAGCTCCGGCCATTGTGGCCAACTGGGGAGTGAACCAGTGGATGGAAGACCTCGCGCTCTCTGCCTTTCCTTCTTTCTCTGTGTAACTCTTTCAAATAAATAAATAAATCTCTAAAAAAAAAAAAGAATATTTCTTATCTGGAAATCCTGGAAATAAAATGACATTAGTACAGTGTCAAAGAATACAGAAAGTTTCAAAATGAACATCTGTGCTAACTATAAATATACAACATGGAGAACTGGGGAAATATCCTCAATGGCTCAAATGCCTAAGAAAACATTTTTTGCATGCTATCTGGATACCGTGTTTCAGTTAACCTTGATAGGCTCACCTTCAGAAGACTGAATTCTTATCATTTCAAAAGCTAGCAAGAATCTAGAAACACAGGAATTCTCTCACACAATTATTAGAAATATAGCCAATTCCACATTTCTGGATAGTACTTTGGCAACATGAATAAAATTTTCAATGTCCACATTGTTTGTGCCAATACCTGTATGTATAGAAAGATCAAGTGACTAATCCAAAATGCAGACTCTTATAACACAGTATTATTTATAATATCAGACTTTTGAAAATATGTACATTCAAAGAGGAATGACTCAATATATTATCATATTTTCATATGATGAAGTAAGATGATCAATGTCTACAAAAAGCTTTTTGCAAATTACATCATATGCATCTTTCTAAGATTAAAAATCAGGATTCACAATTGTACATATGGTATGACCTTATCTATATAAAAAGAAGTTGACAAAAAACTAGAATGAAAAATACCAGTAGTTATCTCTGATCAATGCAATCATGGAAAATCACTCACTTCTTTTTTGAGCCATCACAAACGTGCTTAATTTTCACAATTGGGGGATATTTTATAAAGAAAAAAAAAGTAAATAAATTACCATTAACATTTTCAAAATTCTTAAATATGTTTTGATATTACACAATTTGCCTTTATTCTATTCAGCTAGAAAACAAAAACCTTTTAAGGTCACTGTACTTTGGCCAAAACAGGGACATTAGACCTGCACCCTTAAAACAAGATTCTAGTGAGCTCAACCCACCTAAAGGTCATAGCCCGGCCCATCCCCTGAGTGCAAAGGGCAAAACAGAAAGTCAGGGAGCAGGTTGGTAAAGAAAGAAACTTGTCAGATCACTTTCTTCTGAGTCTGTCCTTTACAGCCTAACTTCCTGTTTCTGTTTCAAATGCTGTTAACTCCTTGAAATAATAGAGACCTTCACATTTAAATAAATTTAGAGAACTCCAAATATATTTCTAAATTCTCATTATTATCCCTCTCAGTGTTCATCACTGAGTAATCAGAGAGAGTTAAAGACTTTTATTTCTGGCCTAAACTACCCATATAATGCAACAGAAGTATATGTGTAGTTCATTAACTATTGTTTTAAATATAGCTAAGACTTTCGAAAGCAGCACTTAGAAATCTTAGAAATCATCTAATTAAAGCAAGCTTTTTACAGTGAGGCAAGAGTGTATCAGAGGGCAACCTCATCATCTGTTAGCAGATCTCCACATTTATAGGAAAAGGGTACGCTGTCTTCTAAAATGCTCTATTTTCCTCCACTTACGTTATGAGGGCTTAAAACCTGGGCATAGTACCATATTTTTATATGAAAGCCTAGAAGTAATGTTTATAAACAGGAATATGCTTTTTAGCAGGTAAATAACTTTGCGTCCTTTCTTGGGAAGGTGTAGATACCAAAGCAGTTGTAGGCTTCACAGCACTTCATGGATCATGCTTAATTTTATATGTATGATTTAGGTTATGACTTTAATTTAAATGTTAATTTCACCAAGGAGGTTATGACTTTTGAATAAATCAATTCAAATTTTACAAGGACTAGTTTAGAGAAGAAAGGTCCTAGATAAGTGTATATGTGTATGTGTGTGTGTGTTTTGTGTCTGCCTGTATTGTTAACAGGTAACTATACTAAACAAATATTTCAACATATATAGCAGAACGAGTAATTCATTAAAAAGAATCTAACCTCAATAACGTTTCTGTTCAATATCCACTTTTCAATTTTTTTAAAAAATTATTCTACAGAAACATGACACCAATATTTCATTAAAACCTTTATTTCATTCATAAAAATTCTAAGAATAAAAATCATTCAACTAAAATCGGTGTTGTCATTCTCACAAAAAAAGGTTGATCTGTCAATCTTAAGTATAATAATTTAGGAGTGCCCTTGAAATATTTAAGAAACCAACCAACAACTTTCAATGTAAAACATTACCACTTAACATTATAATCAGTCATTTTACAACACCAATACAGATTTCAGTATTGAAAACAAATCAAAGTGGTTTTAAAGACTATTTTAGAATGAGAGGTTGAAAATTATTTACAAATAGGCTGAAATAAAAAATATTACCTGAACACTATCCTATTAATACCCAAAATTTTGTTTCAAATGCAGCACCCCACTTTAAAGTGTAACAGATACACATTATAAATCCATGTCCTTACTTGCTTTTTTCATTTCTAAAGTGGTAAATCTAGTATCTATGATATAAAACATAACTATATCAAAATTTAGTCTTAATTTATCAACTTGCTGATCTAAATAACAAATAGATGGAAATTGGTTTGAAAATCTTCACATACAATAGTACCTTAAGAAGTTCATGAGAAAACTGGCATGAGAAGATGACGAGCATGTGGACATATGACATAGACATATGAAAATATGCATTTCATGAGAAATGCACTTATAATAAGTTTCAAGAAGCCAACTAGGACTTCATATCCTGCGATTGCATCTCACATAGTACGTGTACACACATACAAGTCAAGAGAGACTTGTCATTTTTTTTAATTTACAAAACAAAGCATTTGGAAACTCATTCCAAAACATACTCACAGTTTTTAAAAAAATACACTTAATACGAAATTCTTGCGATATGATATAAAAACTGGTTGAATCATCTAATTTACCCATAATTATTATTACAATTAATAGGTACTATGATACCCTCTAGTGGGGCAGGCAGGTCATACCTCTGGTAATAACTTTCAATTGCTTCCAAAGTATGATGTTTGGCATGTGTTCTTTTAATATGTTTCTGAAACAAAACAAAACAAAAATCAGGTTCAAGAACAAGAATGACATTTCTTGGTCCCAATGACTAACACGTACAGCAAACTGAGTAACAGCTTAGGGATTTTGGTGGTGATCAGACTTTCTTTCCTTCTACTCTATGAAGCTATGCATTTTAATCTCTATTGCCTGGCTAGGATGTCTTCTGACTGTACCACAAGGTACAGTATATATGTAAAAGCCAACAGGGTCATAGTAATTGAATCTAAATAAGTTTGCTTAGGGCTGCAGAGGGCAAAGAAAAACTTGTTCCTTCTTTCAACCTTTGTATCAATTTTCCCTCGATTCAATTCCATCTAAGTCCCCTGCACTCTAGTTTTACAATCCAATTGCCATTTTTAACCAGGAAGAACATTGCTTAAAAACAACTTATTTGAAAACTACACAAAGTAATTCCATAGAGACTTGCCACTTGACTGACACCTGTCATCTCATGATAAATGACTCCATTTTCTGCCTCTCTTGCCTTCTGCCACTCCAGCATTGGTCATTTATCATCATCTCTGTCAGCAATGGAAAGCGGCACTGACAGTGCAAGTCAGCAAACATTTAGCACATGGAACCACGCAACACAGGGAAATTATTATTGTCAGAATAATAATGGTTTAGCATAATTTATTACAGGTCCACCAAATAAGCAAAGGCTAGATGTTATTAGACAGATGGATGGGTAGGCTTGGCAGGCCTCCACTGAGACGCAGGCGGTGCTTGATGTGGAAAGGAGAACATCCTCCAACCCAATCAGAGAGCTGGCAGTTCAATTACAAAGAAATAAAGGGACATTCATCATTCAATTAGGCACCTGTCAACCCTCACAAAGGAGAAAACTTCTAACCTGGTACTCCTGGGAGAAGATGCTCAGCAGAGTGGCCTGCGATTGACTGGAACAAATAAAAGAAGGACAAAGTTAATTACTGGAGTGCACAGCAAAGAAACAAAAGAGAAAGGAGCTTCAAAGGTAGGCCTGCTGCCCTGTAATCTAACAGAACATGAAAACAAGTGTGGAAAAGTTGTTCCAGATGAACACCTCAAACAAAGGCTTCCTGCTGCTAGGTCAAGGAGAGAGAAAAAGGGAAAGGGGGAAATATGGATGGTCTCAAAGCAACGATCATATTATTTGGATTTTTTAAGCTTTAGAGTGACTGTAAATCGTATCTGTAGCATGCAATGGTGTTAAATGGAACCACATGAAAGCAGAGCTTATTTCCATTAGGAAATGGTAAGAGTTCAGTTTCATGAACAGTAGAGGACATGCAGTTCATTCGTTGACAACATTCTGAAATTTATTTGCCTAGTAGACAGGCATCCTCTTCTTTAGCCACGCTACATTCAGGGGGAAAAACTTGGGTCTACTGGAAGCAGCACAGCAAACACTGCAACATCACCACTGACACTGGTGTGCTTGGAAAATAGAAGCTTTCACAGCAGGAAGCAGAGGTCCTTGGAGTGTGTCATTCCCGAAGACTGCTGTAAGTCTTATTCATCTGAAAGTCCACACTGTGTCAAACACCTGGTAATGAAGCGACCTGGAAAACCTTCTTCCCAAGTAGGAATTTCCCTCTTGCAATTATTAACATTTAGAAACGGAATCAATTTTCTCCCTCTATAAAGGCACCAATACTCCAATGCTACTTTCTGACTGTGCTCTGTAGATACAGCCTCCTTATCATATGTTGAAAAGAATGATTTCTGATGTATTTTCCCATTTAGTGCTATCGAATGAATTATATCTTAAATAATTTGGCTTTTACAGTATGCCAAAGCACTATGAGTAATTCAAATTTTCTATTCATGAATGAAAATTGTTAAGCACATCGCAAAGAATTTGAGAAGTGTGAGATGAAAATGAAACCACATTTGTTTACTCACTGTCATAGTGTGTCATCTTCTAGGTCCCATCATAGACTTGGTTTCTAATCCATTCCATTGTACCAAATTATAAGAGTAGATTTTTAAAAATACCGTAAGTGGTCACCAAAAAAGCACATTATTAAAGGGCTATTTCAGTAAGTCAAAAGTACTGAGAAATTATTGAATATAATCATAACATCATTACAGTCTAATTTTTAATCTGTTTAAAATTGGAAATTACCTTTAAAAGCCTGAGCTTAACATGCAAATCAGATATCCTGGTAAGGTTGCTGACAACAATCATTTGGGGAAAAAAATTAGCAAAATAACACACAAATCTTTCTAAATTACTTAAAAAACTACACGTTAGATATTTAGATGTAATAAACAGACCCCTCTTCATTATACAGCAAAATGCATTCGTGTTATTAAACATTTAATGGTACACAAAATGTCACTGGCAATTTTTCAAAATTGTGATGGAAATAAACGTGTATGGAATACACAAATCAAGGGCCAATGACTAATGAGATGAGACAAAACTGCTAATAAAACATAATTGTAGATGTCCTGAATAGGAAGACCATGAGAAGGCTGAAGACCCAAGTTTAAGAATAAGTGGTTCAAAGTGAGAAGCCAGTCAGGAGTTGAGAGTGCTACATGAACTGAGTATGTGGTAATAATGTTGTTAGCCAGAAAGAAGTCTTTATACTGCTTAGAATTCTGCCCAGGCAAAACCATGGACAGAGCACATGAAGTAACCTAGTTTCTGTGTCAAGAGGGCTAATGAAAAGATGCCAGCTTACATCAGGGTAAAAACTAGCTGGAACTAAAAAGAGAAAATTACTCACATGGTAACAACAGAAAACCGACAGGAGTCCAAAATGTCTTCGTTTTGTGACTACGCAGAATTGTAGAGAAGTAAATGAAGCTTCCTAAGTAGTTTGCCAGCCAACTATCTGTTCCTGGACATGCTGATCTTATGGCATTTGTTGTGAACATTTGCCAAACCAAAAGAACAGAAAAGTAGTTTTAGTGCAACCAAGACATTGCCTCCAAGGTAGATCATTGTACTTTCTTCCAATGTTTTAAGCCTATGAAGGGATTATCAGAGGGAAAAAATGGGTGGGAGAACAGTCACATAACCTTAAAGCCGTAACTCTGAAGAACTCGGTGCCTCTAACCACACTCTACTGTGTGACTGTCCTTATTTTAAAGATGGGGATATAAAGGAAGAGAAACAGAATACACAATTAAATAGCCAGATAAATGGCTGAGCTGAAAATACAAAAATCCAGATTCAGGTCCAGAACCCAAACTCTTAATCCCAATGCTAACGTCTTTCCTATCCATTCCTAGAATTAAGTTCTGCAACTCATGTATGGTATTATCCCTGAAAGGTGGGACACGGGTGCTTTTTTGATAGAAAACTGAAGCCACAGGAGGTCAAGTGTTTTGAGCAAATTCCATGGCTTTAGACAACATTCTCTCTTTTAAAAAAAGTCAAATTGCAGTTTTCCTTTAATTACCTACATAAAAAAAAACCTATTTCTTTTTGTATTGAAAGATAAAAAAGCTACTGACTACAGGAAATAGTCAAGGATTAAAAGAGTGTTGGTTAATCTCCATTATTCTCCCTGCAGTTATGGTGTATTTTAACTACCACAACTGCCTGAGGTGTCTCTATCTGATCGCATATGTGACTTTGGTTCAAATGCTATTTATTTCCAGTGAATCAGCTTTAAATCCTTCCTTAAACAAGGCAGGTATAAATAAATAGCTCAATCACAGTTTCCTGTCTAAAGGCCAAGACCCTCTACAGGTGATAATTTTATAAAACAATATTCAGTGAGTTTCTTAGTTATAAAATAGTGCATATATTTTATAAAATCCAAATGTTCACATCAATATTGATTCAGTCTATAACCTTCCAGTGTTTTTACTCTGTGTCTGATGTGTTTGAGTGGGTATGTATCTATAATACACAAATAAATATTTAAAAATGTGATGCTTTAAACATACTTTTTTGTAACATGTCTTCATTATATAATATACTTAATTTTCTCCAAGCTATTAAATATTCTTTTAAATTTTTTTTATTCTGAATGAAATATAAATCCTCACATGGAACAAATATATTGACTAATGAATTATTAACAAACATAAAATGATGTAACCACTTCAGTCAACTGCCAGCATCCCCCAAAGACACAAGAGTCAATCACAGGGCCGGCGCTGTGCCGCAGCAGGTTAAAGCCCGGCCTGAAGCGCCAGCATCCCATATGGGCGCAGGTTCTAGTCCCAGCTGCTCCTCTTCCGATCCAGCTCTCTGCTATGGCTTGGGATAGCAGTACAAAATGGCCCAAGTCTTTGGGCCCCTGCACCTGCATGGGAGACCTGGAAGAAGCTCCTGGTTCCTGGTTTCGGAGCGGTGCAGCTCTGGCCGTTGTGGCCATCTGAGGAGTGATGTCTCTACCTCTCTGTCTCTACCTCTCTCTATAACTCTGCCTTTCAAATAAATAAAATAAATATTTAAAAAAAAAGGTAAATAATATTTGTTTTACCCATTATGCATACATCTTTTCTCCCGTCTCATATTTTCTCAATTGATTTACTATTTTTCCTCTTGTAATTTATAAGTTATACAATTTAAGTATTCTATTAATGACTATCCTAGATAACTTCATGCCTCAATTTATCAATATTTATTGTTAATTGGTGATTAAATGCTGCCTGAAAAATAGGAAAACACTACAATATTATTTACAGATTGGCATATAAAATATTATTGACATGCATGTTAACATACAGAATATTGTTAATGTTATTTTAATTCTGCATATATCTTAAATCTTACAAGACATTATTATTGTCCTATTGAGTCTTGGTTCACTCAGATTTACCCATATATGTACTACTGTTCTTCCTTCCTTCTCTACTCTTCCATCTGGAATCACTTTCTTTAAATACGCTATCAATGCAAATTTGTAGATGATAACTATTAACAAATTGTGGCTCTTTTAAGCCACAATCTGCCTGTCTTACTCCTCTACCTGATTTCAAGGTTTCCTTTTTATCTCTGGTTTTCAGTTTTAACCAGAAAATTCTGCTTGGAATTTGTCATACTTAAGTACGTGACTGGATATCTTTCATTATTTTGGGGTATGCTCAACCACGATATCATCAAGCATTGCTTTCATACTCTCTCCTCCTCCTGACTGCCAATAAATCTATGCTAGGACCCCCTGTTATATCTTCTGTCTCTTAATCTTTCTTTAAACACATCATCCTTTTCTTCTATTATGTTATATTCTGGATATTTTCTTGTGATCTATCTTCCAGTGCACTAATTCTCTTTTCAGTAATGTCTAATTTGCTGTTAAATTCATGTATTGAGATAAATCCATTTAATACTGGTTGCTGTACTTTTTGTTTTACTTACTATTTGAGAGGCAGAGAGGTATAAAGGGAAAGCTCCTATTTACTGTTCCACTCCCAAATGTCCATAATAGTCAGGGTTGGAACAGACAGAAAACAAGAACTGGAGATGCAATCCAGATTTCACCAAGGATGGTGGGAACTCAACTACTTGAGCCATCAATCGCTACCTCCACGGTACCCATTAGCAGGAAGCTGGAATTCAGAGTCAGAGCCAAGACATCAACCTAAGTACTCTTGCTACAGGCTTGAAAATATGTATTTATTTGAAAGGCAGAGTCAGAGAAACCAGCCATCCACCCATTAATTCCCCGTTAATTCCTGGTCTCTCACATGGCAGGGGTCCAGGAATTTGACTCATCTTCCATTGCCTTCCCAGGTACATTAGCAGGAAGATACATGGGAAGCAGAGCAGCCAAAACTAGAACCAACACTGATATGGGATGCAGGTCCCAAGCAGTGGCTTAATCCACTGTGCCACACCACTGGCCCTGTTCTCCAGCCTTACAAAGATACCACATTTTGCTCAGCAGACTTGTCTAATCTGATCAAAGAATATTTAGACTGGAATTTCACGAGTTAAGAAAAAACT